TATACTGTGTCAAAGGATTTTCTTTTTAATGAAACTATTCATAAAGAAATTAACCTTCTTTAAAAAAAACCAAAATAAAATAATGTCAAAAATAATAAGGCTAGATGCCAGCAGTCATATGCCAAAACACAAGAGATGTTTTAAGACATCTGTTTTGAGACAGAGAATAATTATGACATCTTTTAGCCACGCCCCAATACATATAATTTTAATTATTACAGATTCTTAAATTTTAAACGAAAGCAATTATTGTTATTAGAAAAAAAATGTTTGTCTTACTATGAAAATTAACACAAAATGTTACCTGGGTTTTCACACAATAATTTTACACTAAAACTTCTGGAAATTTTGCTAATATCTCTGGGGTAGAAGCTGGGTGGAAAATTTCTGAACAGGAACAAAAGAAAACTGTCTCCATAGTCTGCAACGACGATCAGGGACAACAAAATGAGGTTGGAAACAAAACAACTGCACATAGTGGGCACACCATATATACTGCTTTAAATATTTACCATATTCTGGTATACTGCACAAATCCTCTTAAATATGTAGGGGTTACTCTTTCTTAATCTGCTATATTACAGAGATTAAATTCCACTAGTTTGCCGGTGATTGGCCACTTAAACCATTATATTATTTATCTATGACCTAAACTCCCACACGTCCATCCAACTCGAATACCTTTCCAAACCTAAAATTGACCTTGTTCGATCTAAAAAACCAAACGCAAATCCTTCCCCGCAAACCCCTTTCTTCGCGCACTCGCTTGTGCCACGGAATCAAACAAATTATTTCGGCTTCCAATCGTGAAAATAACCTTGAATCTACTTCCAGAGTTATTTATTAGAGAAAAAACATAAGACTTGCAAATCGCATCGTATAAAATTAAACGCAATATATTGAACATTTTAAAATTCCTTTGCAAAAGATAAACGAAAAAAATTCCTCTCGACAGGGGCGTACTACAAAATTTTATACATAAATATTTCATAGTTAAAAGAAATTCAAAACGCTACAAGAGGCACACCAAACCACAGTTCTCATGAAGCTATTCAACAACATCTACGAAACTGGTTATTTACCAAAAGACTGGCTTCGATCAATATTCATTCCAGTTTCTAAAAAAGCCAACGCTAGAAAATGTGAAGAACATAGATTAATTATTTATTAGTTTGATGAGCCATGTACTTAAAGTACTCCTTATTATCATTCACTCGCGCCTATACACCAAATTAGAAGAACACTTGAGTGAAGTTCAATTTGGATTCAGAGCAGGACTCGGAACGAGAGAAGCACTTTTTAGTTTGCAAGTTCTAATACAGAGAGCCAGGTATGTCAACTGCGATGTGTATGCATGTTTCATTGATTTCGAGAAGGCATTTGATAAAGTCCCAATTGGGAACTAATCGATATCCTAAAAACATCAGGACTCGATGGTAAGGATATAAGATTGATCTCAAACTTATATCTCCAACAAAAAGAAACAGTGCGATTAGAAAATGAACTGTCAGAGATCTTTACAGTCGAAAAATAAGTTATACAGGGTTGCATATTGTCACCGGCATTATTTAACCTATCATATGACGAATCAGAAGATGGGATCGCTGTTAATGGCCAACTTATAAACAATATTAGATATGCAGACGTTACAGTATTGTTGGCAGATAGACTCCAAGGATGATGGATAACGTAGAAACGTGTAACAAATAATGCCTACACTTAATTGCAAGAAGACAAAAGTAATGATCATTAGTAAGAAAATCGACATAAACGCCCAAATTACAATAGCCGATACACTGTTAGAAAGAAAAAATATGGTATTTGGAATGCAATATTAAGGATACTTGGGATCACAGTTACGAAATAAAATCTCGTATTGAAAAAACCAGAAGCTCTTTTAACAGCCTAAAGCTACGGTTTGTTAGAACAGTGCGCAGCGCACAGCAGAATCTGTTGTACTCGACTCACGGCAGTTTTGGGTGTTAGATTATTTCGCATAAATATTCTGTCGCTCTGAAAACAAGTTTAGAAATTGGTTTTACGTTTATTCTCTAAAAAAAATGAATTCTTGCAAACTTAATGCAATAATTTTATTACTCCAAGAAGAGGAGGAAGAAGAAGAGTTGATAACGTTAAATTTAAATAAAATAAATAAAAGTGTAAACGAAATTGTTTCATGTTTTCCTCGTTTTCAAAAAACGAGGAAAAATTCCGAGAATATTTTAGTCTTTCCAGGGATTTATTTGGAACTGCCTTACAATTTGTACTAGATCCACTAGTCTTTCATCTTCATCGGGAGAAAATTTAGTAGACATCATGTAATTATTACAATATTAATAACTATATAAAAATACAATGGGCCGGACATGTGATACGAATGGGAGAGGATAGGCTACCAAAACGAGCACTGAACGCCAGAATGCAGGGAAAGAGACCAGTTGGAAAGCCAAGAAAGCGCTGGGAAGACACAGTAAGCAGCGACGCACAAGCACTTTTAGGAGTCCGTGTATGGAGAAGAGCAGCCACAGACAGACAAGGGTGGAGGCAAAAAATAAAGGAGGCAAAGGCTCATTTTGGGCTGTAGTGCCGTAGAAGAGAGAGAAGAGAGGCTTTTTACGAGGCATCAATGATATTATAGGCCAAGATTAACACTGTCGAAGACAAACACGGGGTATCTGATGAAATCGGTCTTCTCATTCGACAAAGTATATGTACAATCTTCTTAATAAACATAACACCAACCTTAACTAAAATCAAATTCTGACCCTTTAATTATCCTTAGTTTCGCAGTACTAACCAGACTTAGGTGTTTGGTTAACTACAGTTTTTAATGACATGTATAAGGAAGTTAGTGATTGAAATCGATTAATGTCAAATCTGGACATATCGATGGCTGAAAGTAACAGTGAGATATCATGTCAATTTGAAATTACAAGATAACGAGGATTAAAGTTTGCATGGCATATTAAAAATCAGAAATAAGTTATTTTTATTGGATATTAGTCTCCTAATATTCGAGCATAAGCTTTAATGCTAATTTTCTAACAATTTTATCTGTAACACAGAAAAAACAGGTTTTTGTAAAATATCCCACTGTTGCATTAACATAGGTAGTCTGAGTTGAGCTAATATTCATAATGTCTCATTTTTTATATAGACTAGTATAGAGTATACAAATTATTATTTAGATGAGATGTTTAATTTTTATAACTTAAAATAAAAAACCACAAACTACTTAAAATTAGTATGATAAAATTTACTTCAAATTCTCAAAAAAAAAGGTGATGTCGTTCTGGGATTGCTCTGGATCTGCATAATTCCAACAAATTATTCAAACTTAAATAACTTCAAAATAATATCTATAGTTTTCCTTTCTCTTCGCATTGCTGGACCTTTTTCTCTGAGCGAGAGCACCCATCAAACTGGCGAGGCAAGTAGCAAGTAGCACGCGTCTAGCATGTTACTTAAAATGTAACCAATACAAACGAATGATTAGAATGAAAGACGTCACTGTCATTTTGGTGTGCGTTGAATCATTCGTTATCATTGGTTACATTTTAAGTAACATGCTAGACGCGTGCTACTTGCTACTTGCCATGCCAGTTTGGTGGGCGCTATCACTTAGGTAAAACTTTCATGATGCAACGAGCCAAGTAACCCCTTGTGAGTAACCTTACAAAATTTGAGAGTCAAACAGAATGACTGAGTGTTTCAAATATTTTTCTCACTAATGAACAAGCAACAGTGATTATAGTTTATTCGTCTTCCGGGTTTGGACCGTGTCATTTGTGAGTGACCCAAAAGTGGGTTCATCTCGACGTTTCGCTACAATTGTATGTAGCTTCTTCAGGAGAACAAAGAAAAAAGAAAAAGAAAACAGAAAACAGGAAGATGGGTAGTTAGCAACGGTAACTCAGTTACTCAACGCAACCAGAGGCGAATACTAACTACCAAGATGGGCATTTGGTCACAGTAACTCAACTACTCAACGCAGCCAGAGGTGAAAACCAAATGCCAGGACAGGGATTCACGTCCAACAGCTCAGAACACTAACGCGTCGAGAGGATTTACTCCCCGCCTCTCGACGCGTTAGTGTTCTGAGCTGTTGGACGTGAATCCCTGTCCTGGCATTTGGTTTTCACCTCTGGCTGCGTTGAGTAGTTGAGTTACTGTGACCAAATGCCCATCTTGGTAGTTAGTATTCGCCTCTGGTTGCGTTGAGTAACTGAGTTACCGTTGCTAACTACCCATCTTCCTGTTCTTCTGTTTTCTTCTTCTTTTTTCTTTTTTCTCCTGAAGAAGCTACATACAATTGTAGCGAAACGTCGAGATGAACCCACTTTTGGGTCACTCACAAATGACACGGTCCAAACCCGGAAGACGAATAAACTATAATTCTGACTCTGGCCGTGGAAGCCTACGATTTCATTTAAGCAACAGTGAGTTATTCAGTTTGTCTCAGTGTTGCTTTGACTAAATTAGTTAATTGCTTCTAGTATAACACTGGTTTATTCTCCATAACCGATAAGTTGGGTTTTAATACATGTTATCTAAGTATTGTTATGATAAATTGGACTATTTTTCTTGCTTTGCTGTAATAATGTTGAAAATGGAATTTTGTCAAAATATCCCACTGTTGCTTTCAGCCATCGATATGGGTTGTCCAGTGAATAATTATTAGTTTTCGATACAATGGGACATCTTAATATAGACAATCATACATGTAGGCTAAGGTATTTTGGATTGCCTACCAAACAGGCGAAACGAAAGTTTTATTTAAGTAAATAAATGATTAAGAAAAGACGATAAAGTAACGTTACAACTGTTACAAAAAACTCACCTATCATTATCGTCTAGTGTGGACGCTAAAGGGTGATCAATGGACCCGCACCAGGTATTTTTACCATTATAAAGTCCCAGCAATGCCCAGTTAGGTTTATAAACCATACATTTTCAGATAGACCTTTCATATAAACTTTAAGATGTTTATTTGATTACAGGTTATGACCAGGTATATATCGAACCCCGACAACTTGAAATTAATGATGAATATGCTTAAGGAGAGGTCTAGAAATATTCAATTTGAAGCTTTCCACGTATTCAAGGTGAGTTTCTGATTAATATAAATATCAACATATTTGGTTAGATAAGTTTTTTCAATGAGCCCACGGCAAATTGACTATTTGAAAAACGATTTTTTTTAATTGTACGTCCTTTACTAACACTTGCATACGTTTTCAGGTATTCGTTGCCAATCCAAATAAACCTAAACCAATTTTAGACATTTTATTACGTAATCAAGAAAAACTCGTAGAATTTCTTATGCGGTTCCACACAGACCGAGCCGAAGACGAGCAGTTTAATGACGAAAAGGCGTATTTAATAAGGCAAATCAAGGAGCTAAAACCAATACCGGGGCATTAAAGATACTGATACTGTACTATTTCAATATTATTTTTAATTGCTACCCATTTTAATTTGCAAAAGTCAACTAGATGTAATGAAATTGAGCAATTGCCCCCACACGTTTATTACAATCACAATTGTTCGGCATTTTAAATAATTTATCATTCAAAACTTTTGCTAGCCATCTCTTAACGAAACTTAAACTTTTCGATAAGTATATTTTAACCAATCTACGGAATTTCAAGGGAATAATGCACAAAATGGGGCTTGTTCTGTTTTAAAAAGTTCTATAACAGTATAAACGTTACTCATTTATGTTTTCCTCTGCAGAAACGTACAATAAACTTGTATCTCAGTTTTCAAACCTTTGGCAATCTTCTAAAAAGGATATCACATTGTTCTACACGTAGAATATGTTTGTTATTATGCAATGTTGGGTTGTGAATGCTTTCGCAGTACTTTGCTTCTATTTTGTATTACTGGTTCAAATGTACACAGTTTGCAGGCTCCTAGAGATGTTACTGTTGAAATTTGGTAAACATTTGATGTTTTCCTGACCGTTAAATGGCCTAATGATTCCTATAAAATATAATTGGATGCATGTGGGATGCACCTCCATTTCGGTAACCTCAACCTATTTATAAACAGATTTTACCATCGTTCGCATCTCGTCTGCTTAGTATCTAGTTATAATAATCGTTTTACTGAACGATTAGCCTGTCTATTTCAACGTAATACTGGAAAACGTTTTATTATCTAGGATCTGGAACATATCTAATTGAAATTTTAATAATATTTAATGCTAAAAGTTCTAATTCTTAGATTCGTATCAAAATTAATCTTTTTGTCGACCTTTTGATGGCCTAATGCTTTCTGTAAAATATGAAGTAATGCATGAGGGATGCACCTTTATCTAGATAACCTCAATCTATTTGTAAGCAGTTTTTATCATCTTTTACATCTCGACTGCTTAGAATCTGGTGATATTGATCGTTTTACTGAGCGTTTGTATGTATTGTAACATAATACTGAAAAACGTTCTATTATTTATGATCTAGAACATATAGACGAACCTATTTGGAATTTAAGTTAATTCCAAATAATTTGATTCGATATAGTTTCTAATTTTGACATTCATAAAAACAAAACTTGATCTTTTCGCCAATTTCGCTAAAATTGACACTGAAATTGCCTAATGGTTTCTATAAAATATAAAATATTTCCTCCATCTATAAATATTTACTCTATCTCGAAACCTCAATCTGTTCATTAATAGTTTTTATCTTCATTCACTGGTATCTAGTCTGTGTAGAATGTAGTTAGGTGGATTGTGTTATTAAATGTTTGTACATTAGTAATTTAATCTCCGTATTCCTAGTAAAAATTTTAAACGAGCTTTCGGTGGCCTAATTGTTCCTATATAATATAAAGCAAACGATTTCGTATCGAGTATTATATGATACAGTACCTCTTCTAGATACATTTTTATAGATTTCTGCCTCTCCATACTCCATGCACTCTTCACTATATTGATATATGTGGGATGTACCTCCATTCTGAATGCCTCAATCCTTTTATTACTAGTTTTTATGTGCGTTTAAACTGTGTATTGTGAAGTATTACTGTAAAAAAACATCACGTTTTCATTTAAAGCATACATTAGCAAAAAACAAAAGTATGATGTAATAAATTGTGTGGGATAAAATTGTTTTTACGAGATGCCAATTTATAAATATATTTTACATACACCATTTTGGTATGAATAGAAACAGAACGTTAGAAAGGCAGCAGATAATAGTTAAAGTCCCGAGCTGGCTTATTTTCTAGTGAATGGGTATTTTTATGAACATTAATCAATAAAATATTGTGCGTATTTCATTGTTAATATTTAATATTTGGTAAATAATAAAACCAATAATATTTTACGGTAATTTTTTTCTGTTTGATCGATAAAATGCGAGATATCAGGTAAGTGGTGACAAGTTAACCCAAAAAGAACGTTCAAATTCTTTGCTTTACCCTCGTAAAAGTAGACTTTTTTACAAGGGTAAAATGATAAATTCTTGATCATTCCATTGATAGTACAACAAATTTATTAGTATCTTTGTTGGTTCAAGAAATAATTCATTATTAGTAGTTGATTTATAATGAAGGGTGAATTTTGGGTTATCAGCTGAACGATCGTTGATAGGAGTTGTTAAATTGAAGAATATTTGGAAGATCTTCCAGAACAAGTGTCGTTTACCGAAGAAACTGTGCATTGAAATACAAACGCATTTGTTATATACAAGACTTATATTGTAGTAATTAACATTTTATAATCACGATGATGATGAAAAATGACTACAAGTGTCCTTAGTAGCCGGTCTTGATAAGAAAAACTACAGGGTAAGTATTGCTAACAATAAAAATGAATGTCGTTAAGGAATTGCATGTAAGACTTCTTATATTATAAATGGGAAAGCTTTTATCAAATTAGTTTGAAAAATAAACACTTTTCCATACTTCAAAAAAGTATTTTCAGATATTGTCCATTCTGCTGTGTTTGGTGAGTATTTATTTCCTGTGAATTGTCAGTTTTTTTGTTGAATATTTATTTAAACAGTCAACAAACATTTTTTTGTTGGTTTTCTCAAATACTGTTTCACTTGTTGTAAATCTACAGCTTTTTTCCAGTCCCCTTTTCTTATATGTTTCTTCCATCAGTTGTTTTGGGCATTTTTCTGTTTGTCTATATTGAGCCTCAGTAAACTCTGACTGACTCAGCAATCTGTTTCTACAAAATACAAGTAATTTGTAACCATGTTGTACTTAGTACATCACTTCAGTTTTCTTTGAAGGTCACAAAAATACGTTTTCTTCAAATGTACACTCAAGCAATCAAGTGTGCTATTTTTTTTATCAAGCTCTAGATTGGTGCAATAAATTTTGTCGTTCCATAAGAAAAACAGTGAAAATGATATGCATTTGGAAGATTTGAGATATATTTTATTGTGGAATAGACTCTTCCTGGACTGAATGTTTTTCCTCCGTTGTCACTATCTCTTTGTTTAATGTAAATTATCGAAAGTGTGCATTTTTTGAGACGTGAGAACAGCGAGAGGTTCGAAGGTGCTAAATCTGGCGAATAGGTTAGATGTTGCAACAATTTTTACTTTAATTCACTGATTTTCACGATAGTCTTTTGTCTCAGCTGCGGGAACTTGATGGACATGATTTTTTCTTGTGTCAAATATGTTTGTTGTCGCAAATTTTTTGTATCCATCTGATCCAGAAGTTTATACTAATGATCTTTTACCAATTTTTTTATGAAAGTTTCTTTTGCATACCGAATAACTTATATTAACACTTTCTTAGACCATTTTTGGACCATTACTCATTTCGAAACCAACACTTTTCTATCTGTTGACAGTCTCCATATTTTTCCTCTATTTTTACTTCGAAGTTGTTTTACCAATTTTTTGCTCTTTCGCACTCTCTTATTTTTAGTCTTTTCTTTTTATATATCAAGCTAGTAGAGTTTACTATAAATTTTGTTGTTCGATAAGAAAAATATGGTTTATATATTGCATAAATAAAAAGCATTTGGTTGGTTTGACATATATTTTATTGTTAAATAGAATCTTCCTGGAGTGAATGAGTTTCCACGGTTCTATTATCCCTTCGTTTATGAAAAGTGTGCATTTTTTGAGACGTGAGAATTGTGAGGGTGCTAAATCTGGCAAATCAGTTGGATGTTGCAACAATTTGTACCACCGATTTTCACGATAGTTGTATCCAACTAAAGTGATCTGCATAGTGCAAATATAAGGCGATATGTCATAAACGTTTGAAACATATGCAGGGTTACGGCAGGGAGACGCGCTGGCGTGCCTTCTCTTTAATATAGCGTTAGAAAAGACTATAAGAGATGCCGAGTTACACAATAGGGGAACAATCTTTAATAAATCAACGCAGATTATGGTTTACGCTGACGATCTGGATTTGATCGCACGTACTACACGAGGACTTAAAGAGATGACTTCCACCTTCTTGACAGTCGCACAAAATATGGGCCTTAAAATAAACGAGGAAAAAACCAAAATGTTAGCATCTATTACAAATGACAGAGATAGAGCTAGAAACGCCGAACAAAACTTCAGTATAGACCAATATAATTTTGAGGTAGTAAATAAGTTTACATATTTGGGTTCTCTCATAACAAACGATAATGACACATCTGAACAAGTTAAACGGAGGGTACTGCTAGCAAACAAATGTTATTTTGGGCTAAGCAAGGAGCTAAAAAACAGAAATTTAAGCCAGAAAACCAAACTAATAATATATCGAACACTCATCCTACCAGTGCTGACATATGGGTCAGAAACATGGACCATCTCCAAAACAGACGCAAATCTTCTGCTCGTCTTCGAAAGGAAGATACTAAGAAGAATAATGGGCGCATTATGTGAGAATGGTATTTGGAGAAGGCGATATAATTTCGAATTGTACGAGAAGTATAAAAAAATAGTAAATGGTAGAGATGTAATATCCTTCATAAAAATAGGTAGGCTTAGATGGGCTGGACATGTGTCAAGAGCAAATGAAAATTACCCACCCAGACGAACTCTATTATCGGTCCCAGTGGGAAATAGGAGTAGAGGCAGACCACGACTGAGATGGAGGGACGGTGTGGACGAGGACGCAAGGAAAATCGGCGCGGCAAATTGGCAACGGTTGGCGATGAACAGAAACGACTGGCGAAATAGACTGGGGAAGGTCAAGGCTCAACTAGAGCTGTAGCACCACTGATGATGATGATGTATCCAACTGTATTGTCTTTCTTGTGTATAACAAGTTTTTTTTCCTGATTCTTTATTTTCAGTTGATCCAAAAGATTACAGTAATCTTGACTTATCAGATTACTTTTTTCCAAAATTTGTTTGCATTCCAAATAATTCTATATTAACATATTCTTGGATCATTTCTGGACCCTAACTTATTTCGGTACCAATGTACTCGGTTCGTAGTATTCCTTGAGCTTCTTTTGATTTACGATCATAGTTGTATACCTAAGTCTCCTCCATAGTGATAGAACAATGTATTAAATATTTTTTATCTCTTGTAAAACTGTTCAATTGTTGCAATCGTTTGTGGTTTTGTTCTTAATCTGTCTCCGTGAATGCAGGATCTTTCAAAAACATACAACTTCTTTTCCGTGGGTCATCTTCACGAGTTTCTCAACATTTAACTTCAGTATTCCCTATTTGTACTGTTCTAATTGAAGGTAAAGAGTCTTTAATCACTTTTAATGATCCTTCATGAATTTATTTTAGTGTTGGATCTTAATTCCTCAATTTTGTAAGTATAAAAACATACTTTGACATTTTTGTCAATTTTGAACAGTTAGATCCAAATGAATTGACATTTTATACAATAAACACAGAATAAACTTCGCATGTGTCCATCGAATAGTAGTACCATTTTTAAAACAATAAAACGAATCTAACTGTACCATCTCTTATCCAACGACAAAATTTGATACAGCTCATTACTCATTGAAGCTCTTTTACCTTCTATATTAGTTTCCTACGGAGTTACATTTCTGTTTTTCCTCAGTTCTCACTGGCACACTCAGTAATATTGGTAACAGATATGGCACTATACAACATTGAGACACCGATGCCAAATGAGCTAACGTGATAGAACGACAATACGGTAAAGACTGCTGCACGCTTTGGTGATAAACCGCAGGCATGGAGTTTCTAAGCAATTGACGCTTTCCTAGAAATTAAAAAATTATAGTAAATCTCTACACCTTTCACACTATTGTAAACTATTGGAGTTCTGCGTTACAAAAATCCACTGTTCTTTAGCACTTAACTAAATTATTGTAGGAAAACTGTATTATAACAAACAGTAGTGTAACTATGCGTCCTTATATATAGTCCTGTCCAGACAAGACAGCCATGTTTTAAAGAATATATTTTATTTCGTGATCGATTATTTTGGAACGGATCAATGTAATCTAATTATTAAAAATAACTTTGTTTCCAACTCTAACATTCCCTTTTTGGCTGAATCAGTTCGAGTTTTTTTTTAAGTATTGTGTGGCGCCAAGCGAGTCATTACTGTCTGTTGATAATACAGCTGTAGTATCGTTAAATGTATTCCTGTTATTATAACACGAAGACATCTGCTAATTACTAAAATCAGACTGTAGATCGTTCCTAGAAATTAATATAAAGAGCTTAATCTAACGAGTTGCCTATAAATCATCAATAAAACGTATATAAGTTCATCAGTATTCATTAGGAAGAGATATTTGTAAAGTAAGACGTGATTGACTCATATAACTCTAGTTACTTTGGTCACTTCATATGCAATCGTTTCGCTAACAAAAATACTATTAGAATTTTATCCTCTTTTCCCCTGACGGCTTAAGCATTAAACATTTTTATATCGATCTAATTCTTTATCGGTTTTGCGTGTGGAGTGATACTCCCATGTTGTATTATGACCAATAAATCACTTCTGACACAAATACACAAAGAATTCTGATGCAATGTTTCTCAACAGTTCTCTCGATCGCTTATCGTTACACCATCTTTTGTAAATCTAAAGCATCGCAGTTGCGTTGCTTGCATCTTCTGCTAATAGTCTTTGTCTGATGTTAGTCTTTCAGTATTAATTTTGAAGCCCCACAGATATTCTTGAAAAATATTTTCTTGTTCTAGAGCCGTTTTTTCTTCTCATTATTTGTCCGATATTTGAAGGATTAACTGTTGAACAAAGGCACAATGTACTCGCGATTGTGTTACCTCGAATCTCTTCGAATACACCATTTACTTAAAGACTGCTTCAATGTACCCCGTTCATGAGCAGATAACACCACTTTCATAAGACGATACATCCATGTTTCTTTTCGTTTATATCGGAGCTTTCA